CCCCAAAACCCCAAAACCCCAAAACCCCATTGAATCTAATTTAAAGCTTGATAAATAATTCAATTATTAAGTTAATAATAGTATATCTAAGGAATTTATAAATCAAATGGACGGAACAGTCATGAACAGAAAGGTAGCTATTGATCTAAATATCAGGTCAGCTCATTATAAAGTCGAGGAACCAACAGAAGTATATATTGAATGGTAAAGGGGTGGAAAACACATTGACACAAAGTCCAGAGATATAGATCCAAGCTAGTCAAGTGCCATGTTTAATGAGAAATTTCAGATGAAAACTGTTCTGGAATTCGACCCCTCAACAAATCTATTTCTTAAAAAGCATTCTGTCCTCGCTCTTTTTAGAAAGAAGGACAAGAAACTGCTCGGTCAAACTGATTTCGATCTGTCTATCTATGCTAATCAGAATAAGCCAACTGGTGACAAGTTAGTTCTTAAAGACTGCGATTAATCAGATGCTTTCATAGAGATTTTCATCAAAGCCTCTGCGGGTGAAGCTGAAACACCTTCTATTAATTCACTAAAGAGACCATCGACTCTGTTTAATATTCCTACTGAAGAGCTTTAAAAGGAGGAACAGGAAAGATAAAAGTAGAAATTACTTAAATAGATTAAAATGGCTCAAGGTGAACTCTAAAAGGAAAAAGAAGTTGCTTCGTAGCATGATAAAAAAATCTAAGAAATGTCTTCAACTAAGCAGATTCCATTTTAGGAGTATAGCGATATTAAAAACAAAGAGCTAAAAGAGATGGAGGCTAAAATTTAAAATGAATAAGTAAGACAAGAAGATGCTCAGAAGTACCTTGCTGCATTTTCAGATATCAAATTAATCTTTGGGAATACTATCATAACCGAGCAGGAAGTCTAGAAATAGATAGATAAGCTTAAGAAGCAGATAAAGATGCTTGAATTCGACAGAGACTATAAACAATTACAAGTAACTAGTATATATTCCATGGACAACGTTTATTGATCTTTATTATTTTATATTTAATTCATTACGATATTAAATTTATTCAATCATCATAGTACAAATCCTTTGAAGCTTTCTGGGGTTTTGGGGTTTTGGGGTTTTG